TGCCACCACCACTGCCCCCTCCACCTTTCCATCTGCCTTCTGGCTCTGTTCTCTGCTCCCCGGCCCGGCAGTTTGCTCTGCCCTTGTAACCATCTAGAGAACGTAGCGGCAGCAAACGGGCATTTGTATTTTAGATGCCTGTGGGTGCTCGTTTCCTTTCCCCTCCCTTGGTTTTGTCCTCCCTCCCCTGCTGCATTTGGACGGTGGGCCCCCTTTTCCTCTGCCTCGTCCACTGCCCTGTTTTTGCAGCTGCTTGTCCCCTTTCCCTTTGCTGCCTGCCCCGCCTGTCCCCCTTCTACCGCCCTGTTTGCTCTGGTTTGCCCTGTTTGGTTTTTTGGTCCTTGATTAGTTTGTTTGCCCCGCCCTTGTCCCATGGTGCAGGCGTGGTTGCCAGCCCCATCTCCCCTTCTTTTGGTTTGGTTGTTTTTGAACCTGCCCTGTTCTTTGTTCCATGCCTGAGGCACCCCTGATTTAGCCCTCCCCTGCATTCCGCCCCCTTGCTTCTTGCCCTCCCTCCAGGTCAGCCCTTATTGCCTGTGTGCCCACGTTCTGCTGTTGGCATTTGAGATTCTCCCCCCCCTTTTTTTTTTCATTGACTCCTTCATCACACTTTCCTATGATGTTTTAGTTTTTCCCTTCCTTTCCTTAGTGCAGCCGGGGGAGCCGGTTTCTTTTTCATCTTGTGCTGGAATTGTGTTCCTTGTCTTCTTTTGTCCCTTTCTGTTGGCGCCCCTCCACCCTGCTTTCAGCCTAGTGGGTGGGGTGTGGTAGTCGTTCTCCCCACCCCTTCCCCTTCCCTCCCCTCCCACTCCTCCCTCTCCTTCCTTCCATTTCCCTGCCCTAGTGGCCATCCCCTTGCCTCCCTTTCTGTGGTGGGTGATTCAGGGGGTGGGACTTGCCTGGACGCCCCTGCCTGCAGTTCCCTTCCAGTCTCCCTCCCCATACCCTCCCTTGCGATGGCCGCCTTGACTGCCGCTGCCGGGCTGCCTGCCATCGCTGCCATTGAGACACCGGCAGGCACGGATAGGGGCTCCCGAGACGCCGCTGTTGCTGCTGCCGTGACCTCGGCTGCCTCCACTTCTGAGACCGCTCCCTTGGCCGGTGGGGGGGAAGGGCTGAGGGTCGAAAAAGGGCAAGGGCCCTGCCCAGAAGGTGAAACCCCCGGTGACAGTGGTTCCTTCTCCCACTGCGGCCCCGTCAACGGCCACAGCTCCCCTTTCTCCCTTGCCTGTTGTTCCCTCCACCAGCTCTGTGGGTGCCGCTCCCTTGGCCCCCAGCGCATACGCCCAGGTGGCTGCGACCCCTCCGCTCACCGCCTCGCCGTCTGCTCCAGCTGCCTCCCGGAATACCATTCCCGGTGGCTGGGGCCCCTTTCCCACCCTCACCAGGGAGCACAGGCGTTGGCACGGGTGGTGGGGCCCACGGCCGTGGTGGCGGCCTCTAAGATGTTTGGGAAGGTGGTGTTCTTCCTGGCGCCGGAGGCCGCTGCCCAGGAGGCGGTGGAGAGGGGCTTGGCGGTGGGGGGCATTCACGTCCCTCTTGAGCCTTTGGAGGACCTGGGCGTACGGGTGGTTTTCTCCTCTGTTCCTCCCTTCTTCCCCAATGCCGCCCTTTTGCCATTCCTCTCCACCCTGGGGAGGCCCCTGTCCGTCCCCAGCCCCCTTTCATTGGGCTGCAAGGACCCCGCCCTCCGACACGTTCTATCATTCCACCGGCAGGTGCAGGTTCAAGTTCCGCCAGTGGCACGTGATGGGGAGGCTCTGGAGGGGTCCTTTCTGGTGCCCCATCGAGGGGCCCAGTACCGGGTTTATTATTCTTCGGGGGTGGCCCGGTGCTTTCTCTGCTGGGCAACGGGGCACGACCGGCAGCTCTTTTTTCTCCATCGGAGAGATATTCCACGGGATCTCTCTGAGCTGCCGGTCTTTTACCAGGACCTCCTCCGGACCTGGCTGCTTGTTTCAGCAACCAGGTCCTTTGTGGCCACCGAGGGGGTAGATCTCCTCGCTGAGCCCATGTTATACAATCCCCATCTTCGTGTGCAGGTGGCGGAGTCCTCCTTGGTGTGCCGGAGGTTGGTCCTGGTGAGAGTCACCAAGATCGGAGACCTCCTGGACTACGACCGGGGGGGGGGGGGGGGTGGGTGGATCCCCAGGCGCTCGGTCGGCGCATGGGGTTCTCCACCGTTACGACCCCCTGGTGCGTACTCCAGGAGGTGGAGGCAGCCCTGCCTCCCGCGGCTCGGTTTTTCCTCAAGAGGGTGCGCCCCACCCGCCCCTCACTCCAGGCCCTCCGGATCTTTCCATCGGCCCCCCGCCCCGTGAGCCTTCCCGGCCTCCCACCCCCCATACCTCCAGCCAGCTGCATGTCATGCAGCCGGTTTGTTTCCATACCGCGCCAAGGGACCATCTGTACGCGCTCATGCTGCACATGCTTCATTACCCCACCCTCGTGTCCCACCCAGACACCAAGTGGCGGGACCTTCTACCAGCAGTGGAGTGTGGGGAACCCTGGTGGGCCAGTTTCTATTCCACCTTAGTCCTGCGGCCCGCAGGGGATATCAGCTGGCAGCTCCTGCATGGAGCTGTGAGCACGGGCGTGTACTTGGCGCGGTTTACCACTGTCCCTGAAGCTTGTCCCTTCTGTGGCATGAGGGAGACCCTGGCGCACACGTACCTTCAGTGCGCCAGGCTGCAGCCCCTCTTCCGGCTCCTCCGGCACTTTTCCCCGCACTTATTTCTTTATGCACACCCGATCCGAGGCCTCACAAAGTTGCAGGAGCACCTCGTCAACCTCCTCCTAGCCATGGCTAAGGCGGCCATATGTAACAACAGGGAGAGGAGGTTGGCGGGGGAGGGGGGGACCTGCGACTGTGGGGCCGTTTTTCGTTCTTTCATCTGTTCACATATCCGGGCAGAGTTCCTCTGGGCAGCGTCCGCCGGCTCTCTCGATGTTTTCGAGGAGCAGTGGGCACTGTCCGGGGTTCTCTGCTCGGTGTCCCCTTCTGGTTCCTTAGTTTTGGCCCTTTGACCCCCACGCCTGTTCCTGTTGTTGCCTTTGTTGTCCCCCGAACTCAGTTGGGTTCTGGGTTTAGTAGCCCCTCCTTAGGCTGGAGGAGGGGCTTTCAGCGCTTGCCCACGTCCCAGTACTCAAAAAGGAACACTCTCCTGTAGCCATCTGGCTTGACCCTGTCACAATGCATGGTAAAAATGATGAAATGAGCTCTATATACTTTGTATTCTGTGTTGTAATTGAAATCAATATATTTGAAAATGTAGAAAAACATCCAAAAATATTTATTAAATTTCAGTTGGTATTCTATTGTTTAACAGTGCGATTAAAACTGCAATTAATTGCGATTAATTTTTTTAATTGTGACTAATTTTTTTCAGTTAATCATGTGAGTTAACTGTACTTGATCGACAGCCCTAGAATCTATTTCTTTCTGTATTCTGTATAGTGCTGCACAAATCTCTGATTGATAATCTTTGATTAAGTAATTCCAATTGAGCCTGTTATTCAACAAGCTTGAGTCATTGACTTAAAGATACTTAATTCAATGAGGCTTTTTTCAAGGGTATTGCAGGAGATTGCCATATCTGTCACAGCATCCATCCATCTCTTTCTCTTTCTTTTCCTTCCTTCAGAACCTGACTTCTTTCAGATCTTTGCGCACTGACGACAATCTCTTAACCCTGATGATGCGAGGTCTGATCAGCTCCTCATCCCAGTAGTACTCTGGGGACAGAAGGCGTGTGGGCTTGTGGTACAGGAGGTATTTATTCAGGTGGCTTTCCTCGTGCCACTTGGCTTCAATGCCATTGGCTCTGTCCTCCGTGACCCCTTTGAAGCAGGCTGTGGTCAACTTGTAGACTTCAGACACACTCCCTCCGTAGAAGCTGGCTGCATAGTAGAAATCCCCTTCCCCACTGGGGATGGCGGCTCGTGACTCCGGACGTCTCTCATAGGAGTTGCTATCCCGGGGCTTCGTGTATTGCCAGGAGCTGATGGTCCCCACAAGCGTGTCGATGATCTCCACCCCGATGTGCTCGAACATCTGGACGTCGATGTCCATGGAGTAAAGGTAGTCTACTTCATAGCGCCAGTGGGTGCGGATGTGGTTGCTGATGATGTCCATGCGGTTCATGGAGATGTCCTGCCACCGTGAGTAGTTCTGGACAGGGATGATGACGAGACTCTTCTCAGGGGCCAGCTTCATGGATGGGACCTTCTCCGGGTGGTCAGTGAAGAGATAGAAGTTGACCCTGTGCCCAGAGAGGAAGAATTTGTTGGCAGAGCCAAGAAACCCTTCTATGAACCGGACGTATCTGAAAGGAAAATGAGTGCAACAGTGAATGCAATGAGTTATCAGTGTGGAGTGAATGGAACAGACAATCATTGAGTGATCCATCCCCTCATCCACACCCAGTTTCTTGCAATTAGAGGCTAGGGACACTCAGAGAATGGGGTTGAATCCCTGCCCATCCTGGCTAATAGCTGTTGATGGACCGATCCTCCATGAATTTATCTTGTTCTTTTTTGAACCCTGTTGTAGTTCTGGCCTTCACAACAACCCCAGGCAATGAGTCCACATTCTCATGCTTGCTTTCTCTGGCTCAGTCTCTAATTATTTAATCTACAAGGAACAGCTTCAACAAGACAGATTGAGGGCACTCCACATCAGAATGTCCCACAGCCCAGTGGTTCAGGCATTGACCAGAAAGTTGGCAGATCCCTGTTCAAATCTCTTCTTCTCCTCCTCCTCCTGAAGCAGAATGGGGACATGAACTAGAGGGTCTCCCACAGCCCAGAGGGAGTGTCCTGAGGCAATTGGGTTCCTGGTCCTTGAGTGGGGCACCTAGGCTGCCATGATAATAATAGTTTACTTGCAATTTGATTTGGCATCTTCTTAATTCCCTTAGGGCCTGGTCTTCAAAGTTATTTAGGTCCCTAACTCCCACTGAAATCAATTGGAGTTAGGTGCCTAAATTCCTTAAAAAATCTGGCCATTAAGGCCTTGTTGAAATCCCGAGCCTTAAAAAATAATCATTGTTTTAAATATAGGCCTCCAGTTCCTTTCATAGTAGGAGCTGAGTTACTGCACACAGGATCCTCCCTTTAACAATCTTATCTTAGGGCTTAAGCATTCCAGATATTTTCTTTTGTGGCCCTACGGCCTGTTGAAATGGGTTAGTGAGACCAGTGCTATCTGATAAGGAGTGGGTGGACCCCAGTTCATGAATCCCAGGGCAGGTCTACACTACAGCCCGGATCGACGCTCTGAGATTGATCCACCGGTGGTCGATTTAGCGGGTCTAGTAATGACCTGCCAAATCGACTGCAGATTGTTCTCCAGTCGACCCTTGTACTCTACCCCCGATGAGAAGAGTAAGATAAGTCGATGGGAGAATTTCTCCCGTCGACCCCCCGCAGTGTAGATCCCGCAGTAGCTCGACCTAAGGTACGTCGACTCCAGCTACGTTAATCATGTAGCTGGAGTTCCATAGCATAGGTTGACTTACCGCGGTAGTGTAGACATAGTCCCAGTGTCTCTGTGCTTTAATGGCTATCTGCACACCCCAGCCACAGGCCTGGTCTACACTAACACTATAAGTCAAACTCAGTTACGCTAGTCAGTTACGTAAGTACTGTAACTTAAGTTGAAATAGCCTCTGCCTCACATTGAGGTGGATTACAGACATTGACACCGCTGCATCAATGACAGCAGCGCCGATTTAGCCGTGTAGTGTAGACAAGGCCTCAGTACGCGGTGGAATAGAGCTAGGATCATTATAGGGAGCCTTTCAAGGATGTCTATCATGCTCCATAGTGCAGCACAGCTAGGTGTAGTGACACAGGTCTTGGGGTAGGTCTATACTTACCTCCGGGTCTGGCGGTAAGCAATCGATCTTCTGGGATCGATCCCGGAAGTGCTCGCCGTTGACACCGGTACTCCTGCTCTGCGAGAGGAGTACGCGGAGTCGACGGGGGAGCCTGCCTGCCGCGTCTGGACCCGCGGTAAGTTCGAACTAAGGTACTTCGACTTCAGCTACGTTATTAACGTAGCTGAAGTTGCGTACCTTAGTTCGAAGTGGGGGGGTTAGTGTGGACCAGGCCTCGGATTGTGCAAGGGAAGTCGTACTTTTTAACTGCAAACGTGGCCACCCCGACAACGAAATTTTTTTGTCTGTACTGGGCATTCAGGATGTCTCTGTTGAAGGTGCCTTCCCACATGATGGGAGCCAGCCAGGGGGACATCAGTAAGACATCAGTTCTCCTGCACGAAATGAGAAAAAAAAGTCAGTAACGGCTAGACTGAATCAGTCCATAGGGCCTGATATCCCCTCTCTGTCATTGGCCAGCAGTAGACGCTTCAGGAGAAGGTGCCAGTGACCCTCTTTGGGTAAATTATGGAGCAATTTATCCATAAGTGACAATTGTATCTACCTACCAACCAACCCAAGTTGTACATTTTCTCCTATAGATCTGAGCACATGATGCAGCGGGGAGCAAATAATGGCAAACTTCATGACTTTTCACACAAACATATTCACAATTTCATTCCAGGATGTTTTGTCACTCAGAAACAATGGTTAATGTTCACAATGGCTGGAGCACATCACTTATGAGGAGAGGCTGAGGGAACTGGGATTATTTAATCTGCAGAAGAGAAGAATGAGGGGGGATTTGATAGCTGTTTTAACTACCAGAAATGAGGTTCCAAAGAGGATGGATCTAGACTGTTCTCAGTGGTAGCAGATGACAGAACAGGGAGTAATTGTCTCAAGTTGCAGTGGGGGAGGTCTAGGTTGGATATTAGGAAAAACTTTTTCACTAGGAGGGTGGTGAAGCACTGGAATGGGTTACCTAGGGAGGTGGTGGAATCTCCTTTTTTAGAAGTTTTAAAGGTCAGGCTTGACAAAGCCCTGGCTAGGATGATTTAGTTGGCGATTGGTCCTGCTTTGAGCAGGGGTTTGGACTAGATGACCTCCTGAGGTCCCTTCCAACCCTGATATTCTATAAATTTACAAAGGAACAGAGGGGAGTGAAACATTTGAGTCATATAAAAACACAGGGGTTTGACTGCATAGCGCCCTTGAAAATCCAAATGAGATGATTTTTTTTATGCCTTGTGACAAGTGGAAATGTTAAATGATTTACATAGGAAGCCAGATCAAATTCTAATACATAAAATGACAAAAAGTTGTATTTTTCCCCTTAAAAAAACCTCCTTTAAGTGAAAATAGATCTTTTGCACTTAATAGTATGTTCTACTGAAAAAAAGTCACTGTTAAACAAACTGGCAGTTGTCACAAAATTGAACTGAAATAATTCTAAGACTTCCCTATCTAATTTATTATGTTGGCAGGGCTAACTCTTTAGGTTCTTAGAGTGGTTCTTATCCCTGTAATTGCTGAGCAATAATCTGGTCTACATATAACTATCATGTTTTTTTCCTGTTTAATTTTTTTTAAATATTTATCCAATTTAAAACAAAATGTGAGATGGGGAGACTTACTGAGGCTTGTCCACAAATGGCTGAGGATATGACATTCTGTTGAAAGAAAACATGAATTACTGTGATATAACTGTATGTATTTAGTATCTTTAACCTTCCATAATGGTCAAAAAGAATGAATTAGAAATGGGCATCTATACCATATAACAGGCACTAGAAAAAAGAGTATGGTAGAGTTGTATTCTACATAGACTTGTAAGCAGAGTCAGGATGAGCTCCACCCTGACATCTGGTGGTGAATTATAGCGAGCGTGGAAAAGAACTTCAGGGGCTGATCTTGTTTGCATAGGCACACCTACCCACTTAGCATGAGCCCACAGCAACCGAAAGTGGTTACTTTGGCTGGTGTGGGATCCCCAGTTTCTCTGTTACTGGGGCAGGAAGAATAAATTGTTGTTACCCTGATTATGTGAATCAAGGCCAGTGGAACTGTTGTATGACAAAGGGACTCACCATTAACTAAGTAGCACTTGCTAGACAAGGGGCATGGGTTCCAAAACCCAGTGAATTGAGAGAGGCTGGGGGCAGGTATTTGTACATGATGGTATGGGCCCCTTTTGAGGGCCAGGAATACCAATTGCACCACTTCCTCTCTCCACTGTTAAATAACAGAGTTAATTTTGATTCTATTAAGAGTCTAGTTACAGACTGCTATACTGAGTTCACTTTGGGCCAATGGTGTACCAGCACTGGGGATCCCCCTATTGTGTGGGAGCCTGAAGATTTATTGCTAAGTGGCTGGCAGAGCAGTTTGTGGGGCGGTTGGTGCGGCCCATGGGATGGCGAGTGGAGCACTTTGTGGGACAGCTGGAGGAGCGGCTCACGGTGAAGGCTGCAGCAGAGCCCCATGAAGAGGCAGGGCAGTTGGCCTTGGACCATGTAAGGTGCCCCGTGTTCCCCTTTCTCTTCCCCCCCATTTCCACCCAGGCTGGGGGAAGGGGGGGTAAGACTCTGCAGATAAACTTTTGAACTCTGGGGCTGCACTGACCAGGGACAGAGACTTTTGGGATGTTGGACTTTTGGGACTTTGGGAGTGTGTCTTTTGCTCATGGTTTGTGTTATGAATCCTATTTGTGGTGTTTTCCCAATTTAATGCTGATGTGTTTACCTCATGTTATTAAACATTTTCTGCTACACTCAGACTCTGTGCTTGTGACAGGGGAAGTATTGCCTCTTAGAGGCACCCAGGGGGTGGTATGTAATTGTCCCAGGTCACTGGGTGGGGGCTCGAGCCGGTTTTGCATTGTGTTATTGAAACGGAACCCCTAGATACTGAACCTGGCCCTTGTTGCTGCCAACTCAGATGGGCAGAAGGGTTACAGACTAATTCTGGGAGTAATTTCCTTTTTAAGGTACTGATTAAAGAGACGTTCTTCATCTCTATGGCCCAATCTGGAAACCACCATAAACATGATTAATAGGTATGGAGACAGTAGACGATCTCAGGGAAGAATCACCTTCCACTTTATCAAGACCTTACCTAGAAACAGTCTTTCCATATATTTATCGCCTGTATAGCCCACAGAGCTAGCATTTTATTTAGCAGTAAGGTAAGGAACCTACAGGACTGTATCCTGTAAGACACTGATACCTTGCCTAACCTGTATGCTGTGAGACATTGCCTTCAGGAGTTAGCATAAAGCTTCAGGGCTGTAAACTTTGACAAAGATAAATGCCCCAACAGTCACCCATAAATTTTGTGGAACTGGGAATAGAGTGTGTAAGGTGGAATTTTCTACATAACGACACCAGGCTACACCTGCATCAATTTTCTTTGCTTTGTTTGCTATGACCACAATCTCAGCTGTTTATTTTGCTTTATATTAATGAACGCAGGGCACCCCATCCTTACCGTGGAAGCACTGAGAAGGTCTCATTTAAGTCAGTTTGTCTAGGAATGAGAAAGAAACCAGAGATGTTTCATTGTTCTCTTAGCATCTGTGACGAACTGGGACTGTTCTTACTGTGATCTTTGAATGCTGACAGGGGAGTGTGGCTAGGATAGTCTGCATTGGGGGATGGGAGACTGACGGACGGAGAATACCTGAGCATGTAACATGAGAACCCAGGAAGGAGTTAGAGGCCAGGTGACACCTTTGCTCAGGAAACTGAACAAAGGCTGTGGGAGGGGTCGCTGAAGGCAGAGTCTCAGGAGCTGGTTGGTGAGGTGGCTGGGAAGCAGAGAGGGCTCTGACCTCCCAAGGGGGCTGGGGTGCCCGAGGACCCCAAGATGGACCTAACTGAGGGGTATCCTGTTGTCTGTGCCTGCAAGACCTGTCTTGGACTGTGTCACTGTCATCTAAATAAACCTTCTGCTTTACTGGCTGGCTAAGAGTCATGGTGAATCGCAGGAAGCCGGGGGTGCAGGGCCCTGAGTCCCCCAATACTCCGTGACAGCATCACAGAAATTATGGAACAGATCCTCGGCGCATCCGAAGAAGTGGGTTGTAGCCCACGAAAGCTTATGCTCTAATAAATTTGTTAGTCTCTAAGGCGCCACAAGTACTCCTGTTCTTCTTTCGGCTGGTGTGAATCAGTGCCAATCCATCGACATCCCTGTGATTTACATCGGCTGAAGATCTAGCCCAATAAGGCTAAACTTTTCAAAAATACATTCTGATTATTTAATTTATTTTATGGGGCCCTTAATTTTAGGATGCCCAGTTGATCACCTGGTCACCTAGGCCAGGACTTTCAAAGCCATGTGTATTTGTATTTAAGATGTTTATTGTTGAAGTGCCTAAAATCCAGCCATGAGAGGGCCCCCAAAGTGCTAGGCAATTCTCCCATTCATTCAACAGAAATTGTGTGGGTCCAACTCCCTTGGTTGGCTTTGAAAATTGCAGCTTGTAAATTTGAGTGGGAGCAAAGGCCCACTTTCCATAGTGGGAGAGGCAGATAAAGCTCCTATCTATGCCCCAATCAGATACCCAGATCCCTGAGGCAGCTTTGGAAACCTCAGACTTGCTATATTTTTAAGGGGTGAAATGCACACACAGCTCTCACTGACTTCATTTTCCCTGGTGGGTTATTCAGCTTGTTTTACAAACATGCCCAGGTTATGCAAAATTGAGCCCAAAAATCACAGGCAGCTGAAATTACAGTCGACTTTAGAAAACTGAGGCCTGAATCAAAGTGTTCGGCAGGCCTGGTGTACACTTAAAAACTAGATTGTCCCATCTATGTCACTCAGGGCTGTGAAAAATTTCATATCCTGTGCAATATAGGTAAGTTGGTCTAACACCCGTGTAGACATGGCTAGGTTGATGGAAGAATTATCCTGCCAATCTAGCTACCACTTTTTGGATAAGTGGATTAATGAACAGAAAAACCCCTTCTGTCTACACTAGAAATGTCTACACTATGGTGCTACAATGGCACAGCCATAGATGTGCCACAGTAGTTGCTGTAGTGAAGACATAGCCACCGATGTGTGTATGAGATTTATCTTCCTAAAGGGATTAGCACAAGCTAGTGAG